AGCCACATGAGAGTTCTCATCTACAAATGGTTTTCTTAAACCAACCCGACCATAAAACCCTTCATTATGAAGGTGCCGTTGTATGGTTTGTGTGGATACTTCTATGGAGGTTGCTTCAATGAATTTGTTCGTCAAAACATTAAGCGTAACCTTTCTGTCCTTTTTTAAAATGCGAGTTAGGTGCTGAACACCATGTTCAGTTACTTTAGGAGATCGTCCAGGACGAGGAAAAAGTACAGTTTCCTAGTCTTTTTGTAATATGTAATAACATCATTGATGGTGCTTTTTGCAAATTTTAGAGTCTTTGTAATTCTTATTTGCTTCACACCATTTTTCCAAGCACCAATAATTTGGTTGCATTGTTTACAGATAAGCTGTTTCCTTTGTTTCATAGTAAAAAAAAAAAAATATATATACACACTAGTAGGTTCGAATAAAACCGTAAAAAAATTTTTTTTTGGACCAGTATAGTAATTTTCAATAAAAAAAAAATTTTAAAAACAATGAGGTTATACGGATGATCTTCACCGAAATTGAAAAATCTGGTGATTTATGTCAGGGGAGTGTATGGAGCATAGCGAGGACAATCTGTTTTTATGTATATATCTGTATATCTGATATTTGATCTATGCTGTCACGTGATTCTGTCTGTTCGTTTTCTCATCTCTGATTGGTTGTCAATCACGAGCTTATTATTTAGCTTCGGACACAATGCTATGCATAATATGACTGCTGTTAATAGAAATAAGGCGGATTGACATTTTTTAAAAAAATCAATACCTCAACTTTCACAGCTCGTATCTCAATGAATTACAAAGCTATCTTGATAATTTAATAATCAAAGAAAACTTAGATCGTAAGCTTTCTTTTGGCTGTTAAATCATCGAGATACATATGAGCTGTGAAATTTAAGGTATTAATTTTTAAAATATCAATCTGCCTTATTTCTAGCCCATATACTGTACGTATCACAGATCATTTTGAAATACGTAGAATTCTTTAAATAACGCTCATAGGCATCTTGAAATAATGCATATCAGCAAACTTAATTAAAATTTTTTTCGTTATCTTCTGTGCATAGGCGTACCTGAAATGGCATGCAGGCACTCAAAATAATGCACAGGTTTGAGGTCACAGGTTTGAAAAGAGCTGTTATAAATACTGTATTTTTATAATTTGAATTTACTATAGTAAAATTTGTTAAAAATAATTATAGATTTTATTTTAAATTTTAATTATACGTATATAATTTGAATATATATTAATTAATAAAATTTTACTAAAAATAAAAATAAAAAAATTATAAATAATATAATCTTTTTTTATTTATTTTGGCAAAATACCAATAGATTAATGTTAGTATATTATAAAGTAATAATTTTTTTCTATTAACTAGCAATTAAAAGAGTATTTTATTATTTTTTAATTTTTAAATTTAAAAATTAAAATTTTGAATATTTTTAAAATTTAACTAATTAATATTTAGTAATTCATATTATATACTATACAAATAATTTTGTACAACTATCAAGAAAATATATACAAAGTTTTAATAAAGCTATTATATAAAAAAATTATATCAAAAAATATTACTAATTTAAATTAGTCTATTATATAAAAAGAAAAAATTTAAATAATATCTTTATATATATTGTGTTTCTATGTGTTAATAGCTAGCAAATAAAATATTAAACCAAAAATTAATATTAGGATTAGGGTTAGAATTAGAGTAAAATTGTGAGAGAAATATTTTTTTGTTAATTATATAACAGAGATTACTCTAGTAAAATTTTTAATAGAGAGCACAAAGTATATAAGGCACCATCTAGTCTAGTTCTATAAAAATTATTAATTTATATAGTAAAATTAATATTTATTTTAGATTGAAAATTATATATTTTATATATATATAGAAAGAAATCAATAGAAATAAACAAAATTTTTTTAAATAAAGTTTTTTAAACTTTAAATTAATATATCACAACAACTATCAGGCTAAATTTAATGATTTTTTTTTTATTTAATTTTAAATGGTTATAGAATTATCGCTGTTTTCGAAATGCCTGAATACCCGATAAACTTAGAAGATCGATTTCAGCTATATATCTTTATTTAATGATAAATTAGGCGAGTAATTGTTTAGTATAATAATTACTATTTCATAGTTAGAAATCGATCTTAGATCAATGTGATCAATGTTCTAAACTAATCGGGTATTCGCAAAAAAAAATTTTTTTTTTGAGAATATTATTATTCTCAACTATTTCGAAAACAGCGATAAAACGATAAAAAAATATTAAAATTGGTTTGGTAGTTATTAAGATATTTTAGTATAAAATTTTAAAAAAGTTACTAAAAATGATTCGTTTTACTCTAGTAGGTTTAGGTCGCCGAAGAGCTTTTATTCTTGCATGTAGTTTATATTTATTTATTTATATGTAGCTTTTCTATAATTACTTATATGAGCAAGGCCTCACCTTAAAATTTTTTAAAATTTAATAATATCTCTAAATATTATTTATAAAACTATTTTTTGAGCTTTAATAAAAAAATTTTGCAAAATTTTGATATATATTAAACTCTACTTTAACTACTAACCCCTAATTCTGATCCTAACCAAGTTAATATATACTAATATTATTTAATTTTTGTATTATGTTTTTAAATAACAATTCTTTAAATACTGTAGTCAATACCTATCTAATGCAAATTAAATATTTAGTTCAAGTAATTTTTTTTATATACTGTATACTAATTTTTAGTATATTAGGCCTACGAAAACCTATTTCATAATTTAGCTATATAAAAATTAATATTTAATTATTTTTGTAAATCATAAATATACTCAAAATTTTCAATAACAATTTATTTCGATTCTCGCATAAAAAATAGAAATTTGAGGAAAAAGAATATTGAATCGGCTTTTGTACACGTTGCTGTTTATATAACCAATAACAAAAATTCATAATTTACAAATACATAGCATAGCGATAACAGTGATATCCTCTTTTTAGAATAGATTTTATCTTTATAAAAAGTCAAATAAATTGTGAACATCTTAATAATAAAAAAAATAAAATAATAATAATAATTAGTTGTTGCCTAATCACCAGTGTGTGAAATTCAATTTTGATTTTATGTTCCCACTGAGAACATTTTTCAAGTCCTTAATGTTCTCAAAAAATTTTTAATGTCACAATATAGAAAAGTTAAATTTGTATAATATCAAAAAAATCTATTTAATGTTCTTAGATAGAGAAAATATTTTAATAAAATATTTCTTAATAAAATTAGATTAGTGCTCTCGGAGAACATTGAGAACATTGAATTTAGCATACTGCTAACTACTACCAACCTTTAATAAAAAATAATATATTCCTTATAAATAATTAATTTCAACAAATAACACAACTTTTTTTATGTTTTAAATATTCTTCACCACCTTCCATCAAAAGATATTTTACACCAATTTCAGATTTATCAAATCTTGATTCTTCCAAAGATGCTAATAATAATTCAGATTTTATAGAAATACTTTTTAATTTTCCAGCTATATAAGGAATTCCGGTACCTTTATCTTCTACTTTATTCTTCCCAATAAAACCTGCAGTTGATATCTTATTTTTATTTTTAGGTAAAAGTGGAGCAGACCACAATCCATTAGTCGATTTACATTCATCTCGCCCTACAGGAGTTACAAATTTACCATTTGTAACAAAATATGCATTATAATATGGTTCACTAGTTCTGGTATCATAAACATAGATTCTTGCATCTTTTTCTTCGACATTAACACCCCAACCCAAATATTGTATATAATCGTTTATTAGACCTTGTTTCCAGATACTACCACTACAAAGTTGTAAACTTTCAATTTTTACACCTTTAGGTCCAACAGTTCCTTTTGGCAATGTTGAATTAATAGAAAAAGTCGAAATAAGAGTATTATTATCTATACTTTTAAAAGCAAAATCAAATGCGTGGTAGGTTGGTTCTAATTTAAGCAGATCATATCGTGAAACAAATGCCTGAAATAATGACATGTATTAGTTTAACAGATGTTAAACGAAATATAATAATAATAATATACATACCAATAGACGCATATATGAATTGTAAAAAACTTTAGAGAATCGTTTAATGATAATTTTTTTTATTTTTCGATTAAAATGTCGAGAAAGGCTCTTGAGCTTGCATAGATCGCGAGTCGGTAAACAGATAAATATTTCAAGTACAAGCTCGTGTGGTAATGTGGATGTTTTCATTTTTTCTAAAGTATTCATTTTCTATTTACAGATGTGATCAGTCACGTGACTAATGGGTAGACTTTTAGTAGATTTCTATTTATATAAAAAGACTATACTACGTATAAATTTTCAAATAATGTTCGTACAAGAAAAAAAAACTGAAAATATTGAAATTGAAAATATTTAGTTAGCTGGCAATAATTCTATCGGATATTGGTTCTTTCTAAGAAAAGGTTGTTTTTTTATGTGCAACAGGTTAGTCAAGAGAAAGAAATCAAAATTGGTTATTAGGAAAAAGTTTAACCAACAATAAAAAAGTTACAAATTTATAAAATTTTAGCACAATAATTAAGAATCCTTATTTTAGTCATGAAAATAAATAAACGATAATTTTGGTCATCGATTCGGCTTTCTTATTTTTCATTTTCACACATTTGTGCTACAAAAATAAATTCTTTTTGTGCCTTGTTTGGAATTACAGTATATATCGTATATATGTATATGTGCATTTTAAAGTGCAGTACAGTATATGCACTAATATAATGTGCACTTACAGAGAGTGATTTAAAACTAGGAAAACAGGCACTATTAGATATCCGGAACAAGTATTGCAAGTTATATAACAAATATATAGAAATAAATATATCGATTAATAGCTCGATTTGATGATCACGGTGTAAAAATAGGTGCGGACATAAAATCTGGTTTAGGCACCGCCTACCTGCATAATATGCGTATAACAGTTTATCAGAAATAATTTCAGCACTACGTATATAGGGTATATAGAGAGCATAAGTTATATTTTGAAAATCGAAATGAAATTAGCAAAATTTTGGCAATATGATTAGCGTCATCTGCATTTTTATGGTCGCCCTGAATTTGGGTCAAACGATGAAATTCAAGCCTGTATTAGATGTTAGACATTAAAGAGTATAACATCCGGTAGTTAGGAAATAGTAAGTACGTTTTGAAGAGAGATATATTTCTATTTGCTAGGCATAAATTACATCGTTGTACATTCTATCACTTTTGAAACCTGATTGGTTAATTTAAGGTACCGTGATCCGTTCATCGTCGTCCTAAAAAAAGAAACAACGTATTTTTAATTATTCCAACAAAGAAAAGTAGTACAGATTTAAGCCGTGCAATAAAAAAGTCTCATTATCTTAAAATAATATTCAGGAAATAAGTTATGTCTTGACAAACCAGTAGTCATTTATTATTTACCAAATTTGGCCCTTTAAAACGTAATCATGCATCATATATCACCAATCAGATTTCCATGATCTTAATAAATAAAAAACTTGAAAGCCCGAGATCTTTTGCAGCACTTAAATATTTCTATGCTTCATGCATTTAACTTTTATTTCAAATCTTTTTTACTAAGTAAACCAACTTCTTATTTATTTATTTATTTTGTTCACTTTATTTCACACTACGATACATTACCTATTATCGTGATCATTTTTAACCCAATAATGACGTATCATATAATACCGACACGCTAAACATATCGGCAGAATGGTGGACGAACCCAATTTTTATTTTTTTGCGAATTTTCAAAGACAATTTCTATTTGTACACTAGTGTATGAAACACGAGTACATATTATAACAAAAAAGAATCCCTAGTATAAACCAGGGTTGTAAATATTATAATGATTTGCCGGCCATTTACTGCGTCGGTGCTTATTGTTTGAAGTATCTTTTTTGATACATCACTATCGAATAAAAATATATTATAAATATACAATAGATCAATAATGATACTTTTTGGATGGCCGGCAAATTACTATGGCATTTTCAACCCTGGTATAAACTACCATCTAACCCTAATCTCTAACCTATCTTTAATTTGATTTACAAATTACACCCGTGTTTGATAAATTTTCTTTTTCAAAAGGTGATATTATAAAAGATAATATTCTATGATCCAGTAGGTAGGATTCAATAATTTTTATATCATTAGATTCGTCTCAATGAAATGAATTAATCTAGGATTTTTTCGTATTATCATTATTAGATATTGGACAGATCGACCTGTAAACGAACCCTAAATTTTAGTGGTTAAAAAACATACAATACTGTATAAAAATAATTAAAGTGTATATAATTAACAATAACAATTTTTGTATCACTATTGTTAATTATTCAAATTATTTTTATATACATAATTTACACGTAATAAAAAACTTACACTAAAATTTAGTGTTCGTTTTACAAACCCATGTAAACCCAATTCCGCAAATCCGCCTGTTGTGCGATTTTTGGCCAGCATTAGCTGGTCGACATTGGTTGGCTAAATCATACACTAATCCTTACCTTAACCCTACGTACCTAGAACTGTGTTACGAAAGTTACAGTTACGGTTGTTAAAATAACATAACTGATAATTTACGTGACCCTTACGTAAGTTACGGTATAGGGTATTAAAGCTGGCAGATCTACCAGCATTAACATCAACTAAGGACACTGCACAAACGGTGCCCGTGTTAGCAAATTTATAATGTAGATCATTTTCTAATTTTAATTGGTTCATCCGAAAATAAATTAACTATGGGGGTGTAAAATACCCTATTTTAAACCCTTTTAAAACCTGATCCGGTGTTGTATATCATTAGGGTTGGCCTAATTCAGGTCATCCATCCTGTAATCTCATCCTTCGGACCTTTAATGGTTTCTATTTCCTAGTATATATTAATTAAATTTTATAACTTAAAGTACGCCTACTTGGCGTCCCAAGGCAAACGACGCTGGAAAAAAATTAACTTACATAACTTACAAGTAATTCACGCCAGTTACAATAAAACTTACATCAGTAAATACAGTGACCCTAGTTTATAATAAGGAGCGCCGTTTATTACGTAATTTTTTTTTATTAGAAGGTCAAACTCCCTTTCCTCTAGTGATTATCAAAATGTTTATATATAACATATAGACGTGATAGACTGCTCCCTCTTAAAATTACGTAATAAACGGTATTTCCCTCATGTAGGGCTGTGTTTCATAAATTACAATTTTACAATACATGTAATGTAATAAGTAAATTTCAGTAAATCAGATTTTCATCACGTCATATACTGTATAAAAATATCAACATTACAAAATATCACGCGTTCAAAATTAACTAACTTAGGCAGAGACAAACGTTAATATGAGTTACGACATGTATACTGTATATATTTAAGAAATACCATATATGAGTGCGTGAGAATGAAAACCAAGAAATAAAATTTGGTCCTAAAAATTATGATCAGCGTTTGTGTAATTTCAGTAATACGTATATACAATTGTATATTACTAAAATTACGTGATCAAATTTTTATTTCCTGGTTTTCGCACTCATATAGGTAATTGGGGAATTACGCACGTATTACCGTATAATCGCGAAATAACGCCTACCTGCGCGTTATTTCGAGTACGCCCATGTACATTATTTCGAAATAAGGGTTGAATAGGCGCCCTTAATTATAATATACTTTTATAATACCATATAATTTGTAGCTGCCCGATACGAAAGTATCGGAGCAGCCTTTTGTCTCGAATCGGTCACGGGTTGATCATCTGATGCATT